ACAAACTTGGTAGCCCTTCACCCAAGCATGCTACTGGCCAAATATCATCACCCTGGGCATTTTGGTTATTGAGAAGAAGTTGTTTAAAGTTTTTAACATATTTGACCCCTATGACCTTGAAAATGGCTGAAGGTCATTAGTTTTAACAAACTTTGTAGCCCTTCATCCCAGTTTGCTTCTGGCCAAATATCATCACCCTAGGCCTTTTGGTTATTAAGAAGAAGTCGTTTAAAGTAAAATATTGACGCCGGACGACGGACGCCGCACCACGGCCTAAGCTCACTTGGCACTTCGTGCCAGGTGAGCTTATAATATTTGGCCAGTAACATGCTAGAATGAAGGGTTACTGAGTTTGTTCTAGTGAATGGCCTTGACTTTTTTTCAAGGGCACAGGGGTCAGATATGTTTAATACTTTTAAAACAACTTTTCCTGAATAACCAAGAAACCTACAGTGTTGATATTTGGCCATTTACATGCTGGGATGAAAGGCTACCAAGTTTGTTCAAATAAATGACCTTGACTCATATTCAAAGTCACAGGGGTCAAATATGTTGAAAACTGTTAACAACTTCTCTTAACCAAAAGTACCAGGGTGATGATATTTGGCCAGTAACATGCTTGGGTTTACCTACATGTAGTTTGTTCTAATGAATTACCTTTACCCATTTGCAAGGTCACAGGGCTAAAATATATTGAAATCTTTTAACAACTTCTTCTGAATAAGCTAAAGGTCTAGGGAAATGATAATTGGCCAGAAGCATGCTGGTATGAAATTTAAAGTCTGTTCAACTTAATGCGCTTGTTTGACTTTCAAGGTCACATGTGTCACATGTTTAAATCTTTTGATAGATTCTTTTGAATCAAACACTGATATTCTGCCTGTAGCTGTATTTTAGTCCACTTTTAAGATTACAAGTGTAAGATTAATACCAGGTGAGCGATTCAGGCCCATTGGGCCTCTTGTTGGTGAGAGATACCAGCTTTGTTTCAAAAACCAAAAATATCTTTGGCTGGTTATTTCTGATTTAATAATTAACTTCCAATTAATCTATTAAAAATGAATTCCTTGAAATATTTGCAAATAAATGGAATAAGTGAACATGCACATTTTACAAAGGTTGTAAGGAGAAAATCTGACTTGCACAAATTATTCAAATGTGTGTCAAATTTAACGACCTCATGAAATTACATACACACAGGAAACATCCAAGGAGTAATATGAGTGTAGAAAATGCTGATGTCAAATGTATCGTGTCCAATCTATCACACATAATCTCTAGATATGTCGCGGATACAGAGACTGGAACATTGATAAACAAATTCTGTCATATTGCAAAACCAACATCCTTGCTCTGTATAGTTTCTGAAAGCATAGTCATCTTGCAACAGGCAAATAAAAATAAATATTTCTAATATTTCTTGATTTTAGTTTCAAACCAACTTATTTTAAATTATGAATTAAAAGTAATCCATTAAAAAAATGATATTTGTAAAAGATTTAATATTTATTTTCAAAATTTATTATAAAAGAACAGTTTTAAAATATTAGTTATAACTTGTTCGGTGTCCTATGCTTGGGCATTGCCACTGTTAACTATACCACTAGTTAAGTCTGGTCAGAGATGTGTGGAATTGGAACACTGTGAGTGCTGAGTACTTCAGCAGCTCGTAGAACATTACATTAACCAAGTATTTTAGTAGTGATTGATGATGTGAGATGATTGAGATATCGTAGATAACTTGATACCTTTTGACCCTTAGCTTCTGAAAAGTGTGAAGCGCCTCGGAGCTCCTTGTGATTCGTAATATATCATGATAACGTTTCAAGTGTGCTACTTCATTCTCACTATCTGTCGGTAACATGATAATATCGGGAAATTTACGTAAAAGTTTATTTATTTTGATTGAAGAGAAATTAACATTGGTTGAATTATTCGTTTCTTATCGTTTAAAAATTGATAGTATCATAAAATGTGTGGGGTCCCGAATTTTATCATGATCTACCCTAATTCTGACATTTAAATCAAAAATAAAATATGGGTGTCTAGGTGCATATGAAATTCATTTTACTTTAAAAGCAACAGAGTATTATACCAACTGAACCAATAATTTTCATAATATTAATATAGTTATAAATTAAATAATGTACAAAAAGAAACAAAATAGATAAACAAAAATTGAATTGTTTTCCTGTTTTTATTTAATGGGGTTTTTTTTTCAAATAAACAAAAAAGTATGAGAATTACAAAATATTTTGAATTTATTCAGAGACACAGATTTATCATAAATAAAACACCATTAAAAGATTGATATTAGAAAAACATGAAGTAGAAGTTTAAAGCTAATATCACACTTAAACATGTACAATATTCATCGAGAATGGAATTTGTAAATTCCCCACAGGGACCCCAGTGTTACGCAAATTGGTTCAAGTAGTTGACGTGTGTTGATATATTCATGCGCTGAAATACTCAGCTAATGTTATCAGGCTATTGGCTGGTCCACGAGTGATTTGACCAAGTGTATATACGTAATATATAATTTCCTGTAAAAGAAAACTGGAAACCATTTGATAGTGTAGACTTTCCTGAAGAGGATGCTGCAGAATAATTGGTAAGATTAAATTACATACCTGTTTTTTTTTAAATCAAACTTAATTCTAAATTTTATTTTTTTCAAAAAGATTGAAATAGGATTGAATTTCTTTAATTTTAGAAATAGCATTTAATTGATATAAAAGTTTTCTCAGAACCGAATTTCAAATATGTACATGAATGTGTAATCCGTATGAATCATGAAGAATATTTAGCTCATATTTGTATGGGGTGTAGAATTATAATTGGCTTTCAATCATGAATGTAATTTCAATTTTTAACATTTATCTTTTTTGATTAGTCTACACAATATAATAATGTTTATTTCTTGAAGTACATTTAACATACTTGCCAACACTCCCTATTCTGACGGGAGAAAATTTAGCAAAATATTCCTGTTTTGCAAGATCTAATGACTTAATCTGAAAGAACAGCCCGAAAGATGTTACTTAAAAGTGTGTTTTTTCCCTAGGGTGTACATATCTTTTATATATATATATATTTGTTTTTAATTCTGATCATGTTTAATATCCCCCAATGGAAATTTCAAAAAGTTGGCAAGTATGATTTTGATTTTTGTCCTCAAACTATACAACACAGAAAGTCATCTGCTTGAACTGAGTCTGTTTGTTGATATTTTGTTTAGTGACCTATTTCCAATGTCTCTGTATCTATTTGTTGATGTTTTGTTTAGTAACCTATTTCCAATGTCTCTGTCTCTATTTTTCAGGTACTTCTATTAGGGACAATGGCGTTGAGCTATTTATCAGTATTACAAGTGATATTTTTTCTTGCAAAGAACACTGCTGGATATTCTTCATATTTGGAACCGTTTTTCTTTTTGTGTAATTACCATGGCAACACAAATGACCTTGTGGCCGAGAGAGGTGAAGTAGCTATAAGTGTTTCTGTGGGAGGCGACCCAGAATACTACACACCTGGGGAGTTCTATAATGGTAAGTCTCCTACCAACATACCAAATAACACCATTCAACTATTATTTTGTTTTAATAACGCATATTTGAATCAATTTTTGTCAGGATCCATGTACCACTACTACCAACAATGTAACTAAGTATATGACTGTGGCTTTGATAAATCATTTCTAAAAAGAAAACCATACCTTGTGGAAAATTTCTTTTTTTAAATTGATAAAAATGAAAGAAGAAAAAAATCAACAACAGTGTTCTGAATGTAGAACGGCAACAGCCACACAGACCCGGATTTTAACCCTTGAACTCTGATCTCTATACTGTCGCTTTAACTGACTGATCGGCCTGGCCGCAATAATACATAGGTCCAGATGTGCTATAGTTATATACCAGATATCATATTAAGGGGAGAATACTGTTATTAAGGGGAGAATGCTGTTATAAAGGGGAGAATACTGTTATTAAGGGGAGAATACTGTTATTAATGGGGAGAATACTGTTATTAAGGGGAGAATACTGTTATTAAGGGGAGAATACTGTTATTAAGGGGAGAATACTGTTATAAATGGGGAGAATACTGTTATTAAGGGAAGAATACTGTTATTAAGGGGAGAATACTGTTATTAAGGGGAGAATACTGTTATTAAGGGGAGAATACTGTTATAAATGGGGAGAATACTGTTATTAAGGGAAGAATACTGTTATTAAGGGGAGAATACTGTTATTAAGGGGAGAATACTGTTATTAATGGGGGAATACTGTTATAAATGGGGAGAATACTGTTATTAAGGGAAGAATACTGTTATTAAGGGGAGAATACTGTTATTAAGGGGAGAATACTGTTATTAAGGGGAGAATACTGTTATAAATGGGGAGAATACTGTTATAAAGGGGAGAATACTGTTATTAAGGGAAGAATACTGTTATTAAGGGGAGAATACTGTTATAAATGGGGAGAATACTGTTATTTTAAAAGAGGAGAATACTGTTATTAATGGAGAGAATATTGTTACTAAGGGGAGAATACTGGGATTAATGGGGAGAATACTGATATAAACGGGGAGAATACTGTTATTAAGAGAATACTGTTATTAATGGGGAGAATACTGTTATTAAGGGGAGAATACTGTTATTAAGGGGAGAACACTGTTATTAAAGGGAGAATACTGTTATTAATGGGGATAATACTGTTATTAAGGGGAGAATACTGTTATTAATGGGGAGAATACTGTTATTAAGGGGAGAATACTGTTATTAATGGGGAGAATACTGTTATTAAGGGGAGAATACTGTTATTAATGGGGAGAATACTGTTATTAAGGGGAGAATACTGTTATTAATGGGGAGAATACTGTTATTAAGGGGAGAATACTGTTATTAATGGGGAGAATACTGTTATTAAGGGGAGAATACTGTTATTAATGGGGAGAATACTGTTATTAAGGGGAGAATACTGTTATTAATGGGGAGAATACTGTTATTAAGGGGAGAATACTGTTATTAATGGGGAGAAATACTGTTATTAAGGGGAGAATACTGTTATTAATGGGGAGAATACTGTTATTAAGGGGAGACTACTGTTATTAATGGGGATAATACTGTTATTAAGGGGAGAATACTGTTATTAATGGGGAGAATACTGTTATTAATGGGGAGAATACTGTTATTAATGGGGAGAATACTGTTATTAAGGGGAGAATATTATATGTAAAACAAAACTACAGTGGAATTCTCTATCTCTAGTGTTTTGTCTGTAGTGGGACATTTACACATCAAAATAATTCGAAATATAAGTTGGTAAACATAAAATAAGCCTATACATGTACATAAGACGCTGTATGATCGCACTTCAACTCAAGATCTTTCCCGAATTCGTCCCAAGAATTTGTCAAAGTCAAATACGTTACGAGATTAAATAACATTTTGTGCGAGACCATTCCAGATACATGTATCAATTATTCTTAGAGTAAAGCACTGTTTTCTAATATTTAAATGACAATGTTGTTTGAGTATTTTTTTCTGTGTCCACGAGTTTTTCCTTCAGCGGCGAGATCAAACAACCCCTCCTCTGAATTCGGATCACAAAGCCCATTCATAAACTTGAACACACTGATCATATCTCCACATGGATCTCTGACATGGGTCCTCAATGAGTTTTGACCCACTTTCGACAGATGGTGATCTGTTCAGAATGGTCCGTTGTCTGCCCATCCGTCCATCATCGGTTCTTAAACAGTTCTTGTTGTCACTATTTCCATAAAGGACATCTTTGCCAATTTTATCTGTCTATTTTCTTAGTACTTAGTTGTACATGCATCGTTTTGAGAATTGTCGGACCTGACAGAACAAGATAGCTGTTCGGTATACATATTTGATTTTAACATTTAAACTTTGTTATCACATTTCTCAAGACACACTGGCAGGATTTTGTTTTTCAAAATTCCCAAATAGTTGGTCCTGATCAGTAATGCATGTTTAATTTGAGACTGGGAAAAAAGATGACTGAAATGTCTATTGTATCATGACAATTGGGGTTTGTTTTCATTATTTCTCGTAAAGTGCGGAAGAAATTTTGCTCAAAGTTCCTCTCAACTGTCTTCTTGGTCATCAATTATGCATGCTTTATTTTCAGCATGATTGGTTTTGAAAGACGGCCACCAGGCAGACATCTTGGTTTGGCCATTTAAGTTTATATTGCTATATTTACTGATCTTTAAGTAAGGTTCTCTCTGTTCCCTAGTTTCACATTTCTGAGCTGCAAGCTGCTTAATCAACAGAACAGTATGGCAGCCAGATATAACAAATCTATTTTGATTTTTCACTGACTATTGTTCTGGTTGATAGCTGGTCGAACACAGTAGTATGAAGATTTGATCAAGTGTTACCGAAGTAGTGTACACAATTTATTTGCCCTATAGTAATTCTGTGACTCTGTTTGTCTGTCCACACTTTCATTTTTGTAGATTATCTCAGAATCCAAATTGTTATGAAATTTGATATGGTGATACACTGATATGTAGACATTCAATGAGGGTTTCAAAAGTTTCTTAGGTCAAGGTCATTATTACCATGGGGGTTGTGTCAGGCACATGGACAGGGCCAATTGCTGACCTGTTAGTGTTCTAGTTGTTCATCATAAACTCTCGTTATGGAAGGTCAAAACCTGCCTTATTATAATTATGTAGGGAGGGTTGGTAAATATGGTTTTACCTACTAGTATGTCCTGTCCCCTGTTCCATTGTCCCATCCTGTCCCTCTGTCCCGTCCTGTCCTGTTGTCCCGTCCTGTCCCTCTGTCCCCTCCTGTCCCGTTGTCCCCTCCTGTCCTTTTCGCATCACAACACATTGTCATGACTCTACTGACTGCATTTTTTCACATATTTTGATTTAACAGAGTTTATACAAAGGTCAAGTATGAGAATACCTCAGATGAGTTCATATTTCAGGACCTCAAGGCCATCAACAAGGTCACTGTTGCTATTTATAGGTCAACTACAAGGGTATTCATGTTTTACAGAGGTTTTGTATTTTGTTTGAAATTCCCAAAAAATCCCGATCAAGCTATGATTAACATTCAGTTGTTATGAAAATTAATTAGCATTCCTTGAAATGTGTAAAAAATACAGATATGTCATGTTCCAATAAAACCGTAAAAACCAGTGTAATTTGCACATTTTTTTTTAGAAATTTAATACCTAAGGGGGGGGGGGGGCTGCGCAAAATACATTTAGGTATAAGCAATGTAAAGGGTTTTTTCATGAAAAGATTGACGATTCTGGCAGACCGCCATCTTGGACACGAGATAATCTCCCTTAGTACACGGAACTCAAAGACAAACGACGATCAACACATTTATTTATGTCAAACATCAATAAAAGATACAATTGATACATACTGTGTTGTTACCTGAGTTTATGTGAAAAGTATTATTAATAGGTTACTGTTGACAAAGAAAGTTTAGCCAAATTCCTATGCCAGAGAATCCCCGATCAACTTACGTTTCGACATCTCGGCGCGTTTTCCCCATACTACTAAAATGTAGTTGTTCAATTTGTAACATGTAAAGTAAAAATGATTCATTAAATCCTGTTATGTATTCAACCTAATAACCACTCCTAACTCATTCACCCCTGAAATTTCATAATGAACTTTTCCAACCTTTTCATTGGGAGAGTTCAAATGTGTCTTCAGGGGTGAATGAGTTAAATATACTTTACCTTATAGTTAGATAAGAAAATTGAGAAAACCTCCAATATTTAAGAAAATAACACTTATTAGGTAGACTACAGTAACTACTGTAAATTGTAGACTAGTTTCCCGATGATGTGTATAATTTGTTACTTTTATGAAATTACATTGATAAAAGATATACATATTTTTACATGCATGTTTTTTTTTCTTCATAATTAAGGAATTTTTTTCCACAGACTTTTTTTTTACTCATAGGAAAATTTCACTTGTTACAGTTCGAGCTATCTCTTTCACTTCTTGTTCAGTGGTTGAGTACAAATTGACAATTTTTTTTATATGAAATCTGAGGGATCATCAAGTTTGTTAAAATAAATGACCTTGAACTGCATTCAAGGTCACAGTGGTCAAATTTAGTAAAATTGAATTCCAAATTGAAAAAATATTCTTCAGTTTATTTGTAAAAATATCCCCTTATACCAAACTAAATAATTATTCTTGCACTAGTTTTTGTAAAAGATATTTTAAAAAAATCACTTTCAAATACAATGTATTGTTGACAGTTAAAATATCATTATATTAAGTAATCATGGAACACTTATGTAGCAAAAATAAGTCTCAAATTATTTAAAAGTTCAACAAAAATCTGAAAGAAATATTAATCATTTCTAAGTGAAAGAATTGGAGTCTAAAAATTGTGAAAAAAAAGAACTTACAGTGACGTTCACTGCTATACTGTAGGTCAAGGGTCGGATTTCTGGTAACTACCATTAAACTGCTTTGAGGAGACTCAAAACCATTTTTATTAATTACTGAAGATGTGCAGAATACAGTAATTAGGTCATTATGAATTAAGTCACAAGGTCAAAGTTCAAATAAATACTTAATTTATATTAAATATTGTGGTTGTAGCTTTTAAACTGTAAAGTGATAGCTTATCAATCTTGGAGTTTACTTGTATCACTCTCTGAAGGTGCACGGTGAACTGTCATAGTGTCCAAATACATAATGTAGTAGGTCAAATCAGTAAAAAATCACAAATAAAATCTTAACTCACCGTTGTTGACGTCATACCATTACTGTTGATAGACTGTAGCTTTTAAACTATAAATATGTATCTTGATGAAAATCAACAAAACACTTTTGTCCCTCATAGGTAACTTCTAGTGCTGAATCTGTCAAAATAAATATTTTCCAGGTCATGAGCTAAAAAAAACATGCATATTGGTGAATAAGGGGAGAAAATTGTGTTTATTTCATAATCACTAATGATAATGACTTTCCAGTGTCCATATCATCAAATCAGAACTTTGATGGCTTTCTCATGACGGGGTTGTACACAATGAGCAGCAGTGCTAGGACACGCCTGGAAAGCCTTGGTTACCATGGTGATGCTTTTTCTGCCCAAAACCTGATGTGTTCCATCGTCCATAGCCACATCTCGCCGCGCCCAGGCCATCAGCTCTCTTTCCTCTGGCTGGCCCCAGTGGCAGGGACAGGCTGTGTCAGCTTCCTGTAAGTATATGATCCCAGTCACGTTGCCTTCTCCAACCCCGAAGATTTTCTTCATATTGCTAACCCCTACAGTAGGGAGATACAGTGGTTATCTTCCTGTAACAGTACCATTCAAGTCACATTTGCCCTTAACCCCAAGATTTCCTTCCACTATTTAACCCCAACAGCAGGGAAAGACTGCATTAGCTTTCTGTATGTACCATCGTTAAGACATTTCCCTGCCCCGACCCCAAGATTACCGTCAGCAATCTATAACCCCAACAGCAGGGACAGGTTAACATGGCCGCTTCCTGTAAGACCATCTTGTCCAAACCATGCCCCTAATCCCATGAATTTCTTTCTCTATCCTTGACAGCAGTGACAGGTTGTGGCAGATTCTTTAAGCTAGTACAATCACGTTCACATCCTTCCCTGACCCCCAACCCTCCTTCCTTTCGCTAGTCACCATAAGAAGGATGGAATGTCTGCCAACTTCCTGCAAGTACCACTATCACCAAATACCATCCATGTCAACGTCCCAAACTTCTGGTGAATAAAATATTTTCAATGAAAACTAGTGAAGATAGCTAAACCACTGTGACTACTGAAGTTAACAAAAATAACTTTCAGGAACATAACTCTGATTCCATTGTAGAGCTACAGCAACACTTGGGCATCAGATGCTGTTCAAGGACACCACTGTGCTTCAGTTATGTGAATTTGGAGGTAAGTGAATAATATATTGAGACTTTGTTCAGAAATAACCTAGGTGTGTTAAATATAACCATAATAAAGAGTTGAAATTAATCAATTAAGATAGCGTTCTGTGAGCCCTAAATGCCTGTATGAAAGGGACTCTTTGATATGGGTTGGCTTGTAAGACTTTCATTGATTGGCTCTTGGCAAAGCTTTGACAAATTGGTTGTTGAGAGCCCTTCACAGATTGGTTGTTTGCAAGCCCTTTCCTGATTGGTTGCTGGCATGCTCTTCTCTGATTGGTTATTTTCAAGTCTTTTTCTGATTAAAATATTTGCAAACCTTTCACTGCATGGTTGTTGACAAGCCCTTCATTGATTGGTTGTTGGTAATTAATTCAGCTGTAAAATGATTTATTGAAAACCTTTTATTGATTGGTTACTGGTAAGTCTACCAGCAGCCAATCAGTGAATGCTTACCAACAACCAATCAGTGAAAGGCTTGCAAACAAGCCTTTCACTGATTGGCTGCTGGTAAGTCTTTCATAAATAGGGATGTTAGCAAGCTTAAGCCTTCCACTGATTGGTTGTTGGTAAGCCTTCCACTGATTGGTTGTTGGTAAGCCTTTCACTGATTGGTTGTTTGCAAGCCTTTTACCTATTGGTTATTGACTAATTATAAACATGATATACACATTCTATACCCGTTATGTTTCATCTTACTTATCATGTTTTGATGATAGCTTCAGCTGAACCTGAGAGACCTGACACGGTCGGCATCAATACCGACAGCTACCTACTGAGAGAGAGTTTTGACACGTCTTCTAACTTTGATCCAAATATTTGGTTAGTTACTGCTGTACTGTATCGTATAACACATTCTCTGTGATAACATCAGCTTCTGTAGAACAGATTCTGGAGTAAGATTACTGTATGTTCATTTGGTACAGTTGTTTATTCAACTATGTGTTTCTAGTCTTCAAATAGTTCCAGATTTTAAGCTAAATAAAGGTCTGAACTAAAATAGAAGTCACAAACAAGGATACAATAATTTTCTAGGTTTTAAAGAAAGAAGAATATTATGCATGCCTTTTTTTTACATTTTAAGTACTGTGAAACCACTAATTCTTGTTGGGTTTTTAATTTCATTGCTTTCGTTGGTAATCTTCATCCACAAATACATAGATCCACAAAGTTATTACAAGTTTGACATAAAGTAATTCTCTGTTTGAGGGGGTACTTGTAATCCACAAATTTCTGTACCCATGAAATGGTGTTTTTTCTATCAAGAAAACACAAAATTTGGGCCCCATGAAAATATCTGACTTCACAGTAGATAGGTAAACTTGACCTGCTTCAGGGCGTCCCACGATGGCACCTCTATCAACAGTGACTGCGGTCCTGTCCTTCACGGTGACTCGGCTCTCTTCTGTAACAGGGATGGATCTCGCAACCTAGTAAGTCATGGAGCCGTTTTTAGAAACTGATGTTCGTTGGAATATTGTTTACCTAAACTGAGATTGATTTGTTTATATTATTTATGTATGCAACCTAGAAATCATTGTAGGAGAATTCCCGTACATGATTGTTGATAGTTTAGTCTCTGTTACACTTTATTGTAAATATTACAGCTGTTTGGTGTGTTTACAATCCCGCAATATGGAAACTGCAAATGCTAGAACAGCTGACATTTGTACGCATCCTGGTACCTACAATGTGCATAAGAGCTTATAGGACAGTAGTTTGTACCTGAGGGGGAAATTGAAGGAAAGCATGTGTAGACATATCATGTTCTACAGCATACAGAAGGTTAAATTACAACATTCTTTGAAATAATTTGGATGAAAATTTCTGTACACCTGTAATTGATCATACTCTGAAATATTACAGATATAAAAAAAATATTTTTCAGATATCTGTACCATTGAACCTGACATCTGCTGCTATTCTTCAATTTACAATCTGTAAGTGTTCAGGTGTTTATGTACCAAAAATGGATAGAATTTTCAAGAAATATGTATTTAATATTACAGGTTTATCTAATTATTCGTAATCTGCACCGTTTGCATGGTCGAGTTACTCTTTCCCAAATCTTCGTCTTCCCAACCATTTATGAAATTCACATATCATGGAAGTTTTGGCTCACATCTGTTTGGTATGCAAGGTTTTTTAAGTTCTGTCAATTTCTCACCCTGCAGCTAAGCTGAATTACATTTATGGATTTGTCATTTAGTACTGCCTTCAAAGAAGAGTTCATCATTCTAGCTCCTACTTCCTGTATAGAGTGAAAATATGGATTTTAACTTAATGTAAAAGGTCAAAGGTCAATTCCATTTTTATTCTGTTGAAGTTTAATAGTGTATACATTACATACATAGCATCATGAGTATGAACACCTTGCCCCTATAAAAGGTCAAGCATGAGAATATTCCTTGTATGAGTTATAGTAATTCAGGGTTTCAAGGTCAAGGTCACTGTTGTTACTATATATGGAAATTTGTCAAACAATTACACTAATTTGTATGGGAGCAGGCCTGGGAGCATCATGTCTTACAATTTCTAGTTTATTTCCCCAAAATAGCTTAAGTTCTTTCAAATGCAAACTTAATGCAGGAATTTACAAAACATTTTCGCATACAGCTGCTGGAAGATGTGGGGGCATTGCGTTTGAAGAAGAAGACATCACAGTCTCGCTCGGTATGAACAACTGCAGGGACTGGGTTGTCATAGATACAATCAGGTAAAACCCCATCAGCAACCATACCCCATGTGCTTGTCTGTATGTATAGTAAACGTCACACAGAACAATCGTGAAACACTGAAGTATACTGATTAATTAGGCCCCACAATCGTGATACACTGAAGTATACTGATTAATTAGGCCCCCAATCATGATACACTGAAGTATACTGTGATTAATTAGGTCCCCCAATCGTGATACACTGAAGAATACTGTGATTAATTAGGCCTCCCAATCGTGATATGCTGAAGTATACTGTGATTAATTAGGCCCTCCAATCATGATACACTGAAGTATACTGTGATTAAATAGGCCCCCCCAATCGTGATACACTGAAGTATACTGATTAATTAGGCCCCCAATCATGATACACTGAAGTATACTGAGATTAATTAGGCCCCCTTATCGTGATACACTGAAGTATACTGTGATACACTGAAGTATACTATGATTAATTAGGCCCCCTAATCGTGATATATTGAAGTATACTGTGATTAATTAGGCCCAAAACCGAATATTATTTTTTCTGAAATTTGACCTGATGATGCCCTGTGAAATGTAGATGTAAGGGGTTTTAAAACTTTCTAATTTCAAGGTTAACCCCCAATCGTGATCCACTGAAGTATACTGTGATTAATTAGGACCCCCAATCGTGATACACTGAAGTATACTGTGATAAATTAGGCCCCCTAATCGGGATACACTGAAGAATACTGTGATTAATTAGGCCCCCCAATAGTGATACACTGAAGTATACTGTGATTATTTAGGCCCAAAACCGAATATTATTTTTTCTGAAATTTGACCTGATGATGCCCTGTGAAATGTAGATGTAAGGGGTTTTAAAACTTTCTAATTTCAAGGTTAACCCCCAATCGTGATCCACTGAAGTATACTGTGATTAATTAGGTCCCCCAATCGTGATACACTGAAGAATACTGTGATTAATTAGGCCCCCCAATAGTGATACACTGAAGTATACTGTGATTAAATAGGCCCCCCCAATCGTGATACACTGAAGTATACTGATTAATTAGGCCCCCAATCATGATACACTGAAGTATACTGTGATTAAATAGGCCCCCCCAATCGTGATACACTGAAGTATACTGATTAATTAGGCCCCCAATCATGATACACTGAAGTATACTGTGATTAATAAGGCCCCCCAATCGTGATACACTGACGTATACTGTGATTAATAAGGGTCCCTAATCGTGATACACTGAAGTATACTGTAATAAATTAGGCCCCCCAATCGTGATACACTAAGTATACTGATTAATTAGGCCCCACAATCGTGATACACTGAAGTACACTGATTAATTAGGCCCCCAATCATGATACACTGAAGTATACTGAGATTAATTAGGCCCCCTTATCGTGATACACTGAAGTATACTGTGATACACTGAAGTATACCCCGATTAATTAGGCCCCCCAATCGTGATGCACTGAAGTATACTGTGATTAATTAGGCCTCCCAATCGTGATATGCTGAAGTATACTGTGATTAATTAGGCCTCCCAATCGTGATATGCTGAAGTATACTGTGATTAATTAGGCCTCCCAATCGTGATATGCTGAAGTATACTGTGATTAATTAGGCCGCCTAATCGTGATACACTGAAGTATACTGTAATAAATTAGGCCCCCCAATCGTGATACACTGAAGTACACTGTGATTAATTAGGCCCCCCAATCATGATACACTGAAGTATACTGAGATTAATTAGGCCCCCTTATCGTGATACACTGAAGTATACTGTGATAAATTAGGCCCCCTAATCGGGATACACTGAAGAATACTGTGATTAATTAGGCCCCCCAATCGTGATGCACTGAAGTATACTGTGATTAATTAGGGCCCCTAATCGTGATATACTGAAGTATACTGTGATTAATTAGGCCGCCTAATCGTGATACACTGAAGTATACTGTGATTAATTAGGCCCAAAACCGAATATTATTTTTTCTGAAATTTGACATGATGATGCACTGTGAAATGTAGATGTAAGGGGTTTTAAAACTTTCTAATTTCAAGGTTAAGGTCACTTTTACTAAAAAAAAAAAAACATTGTGAGGGGGGGGGGGCTATTAATCAAACCAAATGTCTAGTTTTGAAATTTGACATGGTGATACACTGTGTCGATTGATATGTAGATGTCACTACTTCAGATAATTGATAATTGATAGCCTCACCTTTTATAGAATGTTGAGACAAAATGTGTTGTAATGATGAGATGGCCATTGGACCCAGCGCCATAAGCTAAAATTATTTATAACATTAAGTTCACCAAATAACAGCTCATTAACATTTTGCAGTGCCCCTGATGGACCGAAGCCCGAGACGCATCTTGTTCACATCCCAGTGAGAGGTCAGCAGGACGATGTGTGTATCCGCTGGACACAGGAGCCGCCAACCATTCCCAGACCAAGTCCGTCACCGCAGACCATTCCCAGACCAACTCCGTCACCTGATCACAGCCCATTGCTGCATATTCCACAGTCTGATGGACCCGCAGACAGCAATGATACCAAAACAGGTATATCTTAAACATTTCATACCGAGTATCTATAGGTATTCTGTAATTATACTCTCCAAAAATATTTTTAGACTAACTAACCATGGCTTTGTCAAACTTTGCAACAATGAATCATATGTAAAATGATATGCATATCAGGATTTTTTTAAGAAATATAAATTTATAGTTAAAATGTCATTCATACTGAGCTGTTACTTTACTTATCCAGCAATAAGCCCATGCCTGGTAATTAGCCCGCCCAAGTATATTGCAGTTCAATATGAAATGCCAACAAATGTTATTTCATTGTCCTGTAATAATTCCATTCTCCTTCATTTACTAAGAGAATGGGCCCTGTGGACTTATTGCAGGATAGATACAGAAAATATGATTCATTCAGATTAAAATAGCTGATTAATTACATGCAGACTTATCAAACATCATCAGCCATTTATGTACGAAAATCTGTCATACACTTATCTTAAAGTTGTGATATCATCCTGTAGTGGGAAAAACAAAGTTCAAAACCTACTCTATCGGAGGACATACTGTGACTTTACGAAGTCTCCGTGGCGATACACCGGAAACCACAGATGCGCCTGAGGCTGGAGCGGTGACGGAGGGTACAGAGGAGTATCCACCAGCTGGCGAGGAATTGCCCAAAGGTCCATTTAAGTCCTGTTGGGCTTTGGACAATGTCTTGGTGGTCAACACAGCTAATGCCCCCTTGGTCATCTCTGAAACCTTTGACCCTGTAGATCCGTCTAATTGGCTCTTCTTCCCTGGAGCCAATATTCAGGCAAGTTTTCTAGTCACTTATCGATCAATTAGTCACTTATTAATCAATTTGTCCTCCTGTGGTTATATTGTATAACATTTTTAAAAGAAAATAATGTGTCATCCTGACTTGACAATTTGGAGGTTTGAAGTCTGTCCTAGCCCTGCCACTTATTCTAAGTTTTACTCAAGAAGCCAATCAGTATTCCACTTATTTCCTTACAAATTGTCTCATTTCTCTTAAATTACGTTTTATAAAGCAGGATGAAATCTGTACTAAACTTCAGTGTACAATGAATGTTTTACTATTTGATAAAATGATGGCAATCCTGGGATATACCTTGTGTCTGTGTACATGTGTTGTCATATGGTTGTGCAAGATACTACAGTAGTTGTTATCAGGTTTCAGATATCAAATATTCATCTGGCACTGTATACATTAAAACCTCATTATACTGCCACTACTTGTGCAGGGAAACATTGTCCTTATAGAGGAATGTGAATATATCCTGGCTGTATATTGGCATTGTTTAGAGAGAAAAAAATATGGAACATACAGGTAAGTCGGCAGTAAGCTAGGTGGAAAATGAAATCAGTGGCGTTATATCAAGGTTTTGTAGACAGATGTATGAAAAAACATCGAAATTTAATTTATTGTTAATGACACTGGAAGATTGTACAAGGAACAATTCTAAGAATTAATACTAAAGGTGGACATCAGACTTTGTAGTTAATGTTGGAGATGTCTGTAATATTATTTACAGCGAAAGAGTTGGTAAGAAGATAACTCAACATACTTTTTATACGCCCGTCAAGACTGACGGGAGGATTATGGTATGGCGTCGTCCGTACGGCGTAAACTTTTGTTTGTCTGGCAATCTCCTCCTACATTTTTCGACTGATCTCTTTGAAACTTGGTATACATTATAATCATGATATGAAGTTGTGTCTTCCTTAAAAGAATTTTCAATTCAACATTTTTTTGCAAAAGTTATTGCCCCTGTTTATTTCAGTATTGTATTTTTGTCCGGCAATCTTCTCCTACATTTTTCAACGGATCTCTTTGAAACTTGGTATACCTTATAATCATGATATGAAGTTGTTTCTCCCTTAAAAGAATTTTGATTCGACCATTTTTTGCAAAAGTTATTGCCCTTTGTTCATTTCAGTATTTACTTTTTTGTCTGGTGTTTTCTCCTACAATTTTTTATAGCATGTCAGCTGACCACCCTTAGAATGATGCAGATTTTTTTTCAATATAAGAAAATATATAACACTATATGGCATTCGACGGGTGTATATTGTTGTAGTTCTCAGTACTCTTGTTGTAGTTAATGTTTGAGGTGTTTTATTTACAGCGTAAGTGTCGGTCAGAGGATAATTCGATGTACTTTTTGTACTTACTGTATGAGATGTCTGTATTATTATTTACAGTGTAAGTGTTGGTCAGAGGATAACTCGACGTACTTTTTGTACTTACTGTTTGAGATGTCTGTATTATTATTTACAGCGTAAGTGTCGGTCAGAGGACAACTCGATGTACTTTTTGTACTTACTGTTTGAGATATCTGTATTATTATTTACAGCGTAAGTGTCGGTCAGAGGATAAGTCGATGTACTTTTTGTACTTACTGTTTGAGATGTCTGTATTATTATTTACAGCGTAAGTGTTGGTCAGAGGATAACTCGACGTACTTTTTGTACTTACTGTTTGAGATGCCTGTATTATTATTTACAGTGTAAGTGTTGGTCAGAGGATAACTCGATGTACTTTTTGTACTTACTGTTTGAGATGCCTGTATTATTATTTACAGTGTAAGTGTTGGTCAGAGGATAACTCGATGTACTTTTTGTACTTACTGTTTGAGATGCCTGTATTATTATTTACAGTGTAAGTGTTGGTCAGAGGATAACTCGATGTACTTTTTGTACTTACTGTTTGAGATGCCTGTATTATTATTTACAGTGTAAGTGTTGGTCAGAGGATAACTCGACGTACTTTTTGTACTTACTGTTTGAGATGCCTGTATTATTATTTACAGTGTAAGTGTTGGTCAGAGGATAACTCGATGTACTTTTTGTACTTACTGTTTGAGATGCCTGTATTATTATTTACAGTGTAAGTGTTGGTCAGAGGATAACTCGATGTACTTTTTGTACTTACTGTTTGAGATATCTGTATTATTATTTACAGCGTAAGTGTCGGTCAGAGGATAAGTCGACGTACTTTTTGTACTTACTGTTTGAGATGTCTGTATTATTATTTACAGCGTAAGTGTCGGTCGGAAGATAACTCAACGTACTTTTTGTACTTACTGTTTGAGATGCCTGTATTATTATTTACAGCGTAAGTGTCGGTCAGAGGACAACTCGATGTACTTCAGTATGGTGAACCAGACAGTGAACTATGTTGTGACCAGAGATATGGACCTCAGCATTGAGGACCTCTCCGATGTCATGCTGGAGGAAGTTTTTGAGCTGAAACAACAACCAGGGTAAGAATAACAGGTTTTTTTCTCCCTTTCTCACGTTGTCCGCTTCAATAATGGTACCCCGAGGGATGTTTTTGATATATCTGAAAAAAAAAATGTATTATGCCAGATTTTTTAAGGGAGGGGTTGGGGGCTGAATTTCCCCAAGAAGCTATCTGTTATGTTTTGTAACTAAACTTTTACCAAAATTGTGCTGTTCATAATTATTTTGAAAAGTTTTAGCTGTCATGGAGCATTTTCTGATAATGGAGTTCAATACAATCTATCAGAATGATGTCCTGATTTATTTATGGAGATTTCAATTTGGGGTTTGGATAAAAGACCTTCATGTCTGCAGTGTGAAGAAATGAGAGATTATTTTGTTTGAGGAAATGCATGTATGTGTCTAAATATAGGCCCTTGACACGTAATTTACGTGCATTAAAAAAAGAATGTTTTAAAACATGTACATTAACTGTACATGTTTTCCCTGAATTGAACAGGTGGGACATACAAGGGGGTCTGCCTGATGTAAACTGTGGTATAATTCATGAAGGGAACTCTTTAGTGTTCAGCAGTAATGGAGATAGAAAAGCATGTACACCCTACATGGATACAAGAGGAGTTGGAAACCTACGATTTTACTTCTCTATGGGTAACGTATATTATATATATAATGTTATTGTAAACTCAACTTAGTTTGATTGCAGTGTGATAACACCATAACATAAATTTTCTTTATCACATAATGTACTGTGTTATCCAGTGAATACACCCATGTCATATTTTTTGCGTATTAACCCATGTAATATGACCTATCAGCCCTGTGATTGGTTGTAAGTGTCAATTGTTTCAATTGTGACGTCACGCCAAGGACAAGTACATGACATCACAGACTTACGCACTGAAGTATTGTATGTATTATTTATGGTAATACAGATAGCCTGGCACATGCTGCCATGGAAGTAATCTGAATTATATTGAAACTTTTCCATGCATTGATTTAATAGGAAGTGGAAGTTGTCACATGACAGACTCAGATGACGTCCATGTGCTGTTGTACGCCGAGAACATTGCAGGTCACACGATGACGCTGCAGAAGCTCCTCCCTAGCAACCACCGGGTAAGTTGATCACAATCTTTATACATAGGATAGAAATATTCACATGAATTGAAAAGAAAATTAATCTGTGTGTTATATAATAATTAGCACCAGTCGTGATTATAGGCAAGTTTGTTAGGTGATTGGACACCTGTGATTTTTTTTTCACAGGAACAAAAAAATTGCATTTGGCGATGATTTAAACGAAAATTTGAAAACGCTAGTCCGACTGATGCTTGAACAACAGCCGAGTAATGACTATTATATATTCTACCATGTTTGCCATGTAGCGACATGACTTTTCATTTGTTAATAACCATATAAATTATTGGACGATAGACCATGCACGTGCATATATCATTTTCCAATAGACCAATGGTCTTCTAAAAAACTGAGCCTGCGAATGTTAACAAGCAAACTGCGAGTCTGGTTTCTGGTACCATATTGAATTTTGTATGTATTTGAAGATTTGCTAGCAGACAAACTAAAAAGTTTCTATTTAACCTCTAGATCTATCTAAAACCTGTCAAGCTCACAGTCAGAATGTTCCACCAAACTTACTGCAAAGGTGTTTTGAAATGTATTTGTAGATCTGTCAAATGACAATTTCTTGTGATGATGAGCGATATCAATAGATGTAAAGATCAATTCTGATTCTATTGAGATTATGAAAGAAAGATTCTAAAAGATTTTCTTGATAATTAATTAATAAAAAATAATTACTATTAAATGGAAGCCCTGATCTAATGAGGAAGGAAACAAAAACTCATACTTCACTTTTTAATTCTGTTTATTGAAGAAATAAAAAAAATATCAAAAATATGTATATCTAATTAATACTTTGAAAACATGCTTCACACTTGTATGTATATACCTCAAAATGGTCCAAACATAAGCCAAACTTTGAATGAAAGAATGTCTTTCGGCCTCCCTCTGTTATATTTGTAGAAGAACAGGGCCAACTATTTAACAATCCTTTGCTTATCTGCCATATCTTCAGATGTATTTCCAAAAGTTCAGATTTCTATAATTCAAAAAATGCTCGTTTGCAAAGATCCTGGTCACTGAGCACCTATGTAAAATAAGATGTTTCCTCTTATGAGAACAATTACCCAGGTACAACATATTATGGGGGTAAAGCAGTTGTATGGTATAAACCAACAGGCGAGATAGTAGCATGAAAAGCTGCTAAAATTAAAATGCCACTAAAATAGTTCACATACAGTATATGTAACAGCTAACCTGGTCAAGTATTTTTTTTATTTTTTTTTCCTAATCTGTCTTTTTCCTGATATATTTTGATTTGTCACTTTTCTTCATGTGTGAATTCACATATGTGTTTGTACACTTGGACTGCTCCGCCCCATAGCCCCACCCACAGATCACCATCAGCAAGCATGGCCAGTGTTCGTGGTGGAGCCTGATGCTCCGTAACCAAAACTTTAAGTGGGTTACATGCTGGATCTAACAGCTGATCTGTCCTGGAGTAAAACTCTGAGACCAGCAAAAGGTTATGCTGATTGAACACAACACCAGAAATCCAAAATTGTTCTGTTTGTTGAGGCATCTGTTCCGCAGCAGCCACCGTCACTCCCGGGGAAATGTACCTCACTCGCAGGTTTAGTTTGTTATCCAGCAACACTAAATGGCTTCTAGTTGGATTTCTGGTTGTAGCGTTAATTACAACCACTGCACCACTGTTGTCGATGGATAATCCGTCAGAAACAAAGAATAAATCTTCGTCATGGAAATCTTTGTGAACTCGAGCTAGTTCCCTGCCATTACTGTTGTACTTCACCAGAACGGTTGTGGAGTTTGGTTCGACAGACCAGGAAGTTTTGTTTGTCAATGTCACCAAGATGTCCCCGTTGTGTGTCACACACATGAAGCACGGCCTCAAAGGACCCGTACAAATCAGTGTCGACATGATCGGGTCACGGCCATCTTGTGTTACATGTATTTGTTTGATGACATTCTCTGTTGTGAAGGTAACAAAAAGTCGATTTGTCCCAGGTATCACTGCGAAATCAAGAACTGGTGAATTACACTGTATTTCATTCTCAACGTCACCACTTGTACCAACAAGTTTAACTATGTTGTCATCGTGACATTTCACCCAGCACTTTCCTTCTACTGTTGGTTTCATATCGCGTGCCGTATGAGAAAGTTTAAAGGAACGTTTAGGGGTTAGTTTTATGTAACATTTGAAGCTTTGAGATCTTTTAGATTGCAGTTGTGTGGCTGCGTCAGTAGAACCAGCTACGTGTGTCTTGACCAAAGTGTCTTCCTCTGGTCCATCCCCAAACAGATCAAGTGTATTGACACTGGAGTCTGGAGAGGAATTGTGACTGTGCTGTCCTAACACAGGTGTAGCTGTTGTCCTATCTAGCTGGAATGTGGTTTGCAGATTCAAGTCCTGTATTTTTAGCTCCCCAAACAACCCTTCCATGTTTATTCCATCTCCTGGAGACACAAATAAAAGCCTGTACACTTCTGGGAAATTCAGTCGTTCAACGTCTGGCACTTTTATTCTCTGTCCATGTTCAACAATTTCTAAAGGATTCTGCAGGGTCTGTAATCTTCCTACTTTATCCTTAAAGTCTTGGATTTTTTGGATTTGTGCAGATGCAGTTGCCTTGACCTTATCTAATTCCTTAGACATCCATTCGTGGTGCTGGTCCAGTTTTTTCTCAGCTGTTTCCGTGACCTCGTCAAGCAGTTGTTTGATTTCATCACGTCTTGCCTGAATTTCTTTCTTTGTTTGGAGGGCTTGCTGGCAACCTTCAATTTGACATAACGCCACAAGATCCTGAAGACTTTTTTCCAGTTTGATAAATCCTGGACTTTCCTTGGATGCCAGTAAATCATCAATAATCGACTTAGCTACAGTGTCAAATGACTTGAGCAAATGTCCATAATGAGTTTCTTCTATACATAGTTCACACACTGGAGAGTTACAACCTACACATACCATGATCTTCTGCTTTCCTTCGTGGATCTGACAGGCCATTTTGTGTCCTTTTAAATATTCCTACCAGGTACTTTGTAATGATAATGGTAACGTTCTGTCACCCTTCACATAGCAGCCATTTTAAGTTGTGTGTTACATTGGTGATAAAACAAGAACACTGGAAAAACCCACAGGTGTTAAAGTTTGTTGATGGCTAGTTAGCTTACTGTGTTAGCTTTTACAGCCGTTACTACACTATCATTTCACTTATAAGGGACAGGTAACATTCTTTTTAGAATATACAGATAAAAAAAGCAATCAATATACACTGACATTGAATTCCAAGATGTGTCAAACTTTGTTTTAGCAGGGTTAAAACTTATAATGATCATGTCAGTCAAAGTTGCCTTGATATTGCAACCCAGTACAAGCGATGGCATGATCTATAGTTCTATAAATAAACATGCTGACTTAGTATACGTAAGCTGTGATTCATATTTAGACCCATGCACAGCAGTGTGTACAGTGCAAATGTGAATTATACATGCATTAAAAACATATTTCTGTTCTTAACATTTTTTTATTAAAACCGTCATTTTCTTGTTTATAATATATGGCAATATCTTAGACCATATGACTACAGGGGGAATTGTGTGCTGAACAAGAACGGCAGTATCTATTGATATTGGGGGTGGGGTGGGGGTGGGTGGGTAATTGTGTGCTAAACAAGAACTGCAGTATCTATTGCAAACAGAAGGTGAAGGAGAGATCTGTTCGAACTACAGATAGATTAGCTTTCACCTGTGCGAATAATAAATATACAGGTAATAACTTATAATTCAAGTTAAAAAATCTGTTCCTATTTAATTTTTCACCTTTGAAAAAAAAAAAAATCCAGTGTCGAAATATATTCTTAACTTAATAAATACCACAAATGATCATCAACTGCGTGCCATACTAATTAAACATAGTTCAGATTCATAATTTGGGCCGATAATAAGCTGTTACTGCATACGATTACAGCGAGTAAAAAAGGATTATTACCTATCATGATACTCTCTTAATAAATAAAAAGATAAAAGGTACGTCAGTGGATATTCTATTAACCATACACACTACACATTGAGGCAAGGTAAAACCTGGGAACTATTGATTTGAAAGTACACTCATCCTCGTTCCATGTAAACTATGTGGTGTTGGTTATAATATCTTACAGGCTGTCAGAATGGGGTTTTAAAACGTATTAAAGGCAATGAAATTGATTTATTCATCATAATGTTTGTATCGCTTATATATATATACATTTTAATATATCACACCATTATAAGATAATGAATATCAATGGCAATTAATGTTTAATAGAACAGATTACATACAAAATATCACAGAGAAATTTTCTATGGTTTGCTTTAGCTGTGAGCTCACTTTTTTTCCCGTTTCGTTCCATTGCACTTATCTTTTGAGTTTAATTTCACGGGTAGTTATAATTTAAGAAATGTTCCTACTTACTTGGATAAGGGGGTAGGTGTATTTAGTGCTGTGTTCATCATTAAAGTAGTGAAATGTTCCGACTTACTTTGATAAGGGGGTACTACTTACTTGGATAAGGGGGTAGGTGTACTTAGTGCTGTGTTCATCATTAAAGTAGTGAAATGTTGCTGATTACCAGCAGTATTTGATTCATACAATAATTTATGCAGTGTCTTCTCTATAAACACACACACATATGCTGACACCTGTCTAATCAAAACCCTGATTATTTCATCATTCTGTTTTATCCAGCACCGTGATGTAATCACATTTCTAATGAAAGCTATCAAATAAGATTGTTGCATTGTGAAACCCTGTCTAGTCTGGCCTTTCTTTGTGTCACAGGGTGTCAGATTAGACAGGTATAATGTATGTATGAAAGTCAGGGTTCTGCTGTATCCTCACCTCGACTGGCATCACAGAGGTGTGAAGCCTGAATGTTTTGTGCATGTTTTAATCATTTCATGAGGTACAAAGTTTTGCAAATATTAATGCATTGGCAAAATTAGCAAAATTAAAACCTTTTTGAATATAAACAATTATACAATAGTTCTACTACAGTGTAGCAAAATACACTTAGTGTTGTTTTTCTATCATTTAGGAGGCGAGACTGATGTCAGTGCCAGTGGAGGGAGAACTTAGACAGATGGAGGTACGGTTCTGTTGGATCCAGAAGTTCCACAACGGTGGAGGTCAGGATGTTTGGGCCATGGACAGTGTCCTGGTGTTTCCTGTCACCCCTCAAGGTTTTGGCCGCAACAGGGACAAAATCGTACAGTTTGGGATCAACATGGGGTGTGCTACTGACCCAAGCTCAAACAGGTATTGACATGTTGCTGAATCAAACGCATATAAAGATTGATGCTTTATTGTCCCAAACCCCGTTAGGATCTCTGGATATTAAAATATATATTAACATATATGTTTGCCAATTTTCATGGGGGAGATGAATACACGTGCTCAGAATTAACAATATAAATAAGATGTGTGTATATACACCCTATCAAAAAACAACACTTTTAAATGGCATTGTTTGAGCTGTTCCTTCAGATGAAATCGTCAAATCTTAGGAAATAGGAATATGCTTAATTTTAGGGTCCACAATTGGGAGTCTCCCTCCAAAACAGGGGAGAGTTGGCAAGTATGCATTTTTGTTACTTGACTGAGCCATGAAATTTATATATATATATGCTTCAAAGACAATTATGTATTTTGTTTTAAATACCTGTATTGATACAGAATGTATCACTATTGTCATGGAATGAAGTTCACTGGAATCACAGTGTTTTCTGTCAACAGTTTAGATTAGAAAATATTCAATATTTCTCTAACCTTCAATCTATAACCTGTGAAGTGTTTTTGTCAACTGAGTAAAATAACCTTTAACCTTACTGACCTGTGGAGAGTTCCCTGGCAACAGAGTCGATATGCAGCATTCCTCTGACCTTTAACCTTCCTGATTTGTAAGTTCTTTTTTTGCAGAACAGATTAAAATATGCAATATTTCTCCGACCTTTAACCTCTTGACCTTTGATGCATTTTCTGTCAACAGGGTAGACATGCAGTACTCGACAGATTTGGGACAGACCTGGCACAACCTCCGAACACAGTGTTTACACGGCAGTTGTCAAGGCAACTATCAGCCTGTTGTCTCTTCCTTCTCCTCGGACGATTACCCCAGGTACAACATCAAAAACTGGAATTTGAAAAAAATCACTTGCTTACTTAGTTTAAACTTTATTTTATTGATGTTTAATTACAATAGTACATGGTTATAAATACAGAAAAGAATCCTTGCTTTCTTAAATGATAGATGATACAGTATCTGTATCGATAACATTTTAATGGAACCTTTATCCCTAGGTGTCAACCTCTGAAACTGCCAATGAGGGAGAAAGTGTGTGAAATGCAACTTAAACTACTTTGCTAAATTTATCTTTCCCTTTTTATGTTACGCTCACTTACGCTCTCTGCACCCCTGGAATATTTCATAGCAAAATTGAAGGCATGAAAATAGCTGTTTGATTGGTCTCAGGTAAAAACAAACTGACCAATTGCTAGGCTGAAACCTGTCGTTTGAAGATTACAGGAGCCTTCGATTTTGCTTTGACATAATCAAGGGTTGCAGAGAGCGTAAGTGAGCGTAACCGCTGGAGTATTGAGGATGAGGGGTGCAGAGAGAGTAAGTGAGCCTTACCCCTGGAGTATTGAGGATGAGGGGTGCAGAGAGAGTAAGTGAGCCTTATCCCTGGAGTATTGAGGATGAGGGGTGCAGAGAGAGTAAGTGAGCGTAACCGCTGGAGTATTGAGGATGAGGGGTGCAGAGAGAGTAAGTGAGCCTTACCCCTGGAGTATTGAGGATGAGGGGTGCAGAGAGAGTAAGTGAGCCTTATCCCTGGAGTATTGAGGATGAGGGGTGCAGAGAGAGTAAGTGAGCGTAACCGCTGGAGTATTGAGGATGAGGGGTGCAGAGAGAGTAAGTGAGCCTTACCCCTGGAGTATTGAGGATGAGGGGTGCAGAGAGAGTAAGTGAGCGTTACCCCTGGAGTATTGAGGATGAGGGGTGCAGAGAGAGTAAGTGAGCCTTATCCCTGGAGTATTGAGGATGAGGGGTGCAGAGAGAGTAAGTGAGCGTAACCGCTGGAGTATTGAGGATGAGGGGTGCAGAGAGAGTAAGTGAGCCTTACCCCTGGAGTATTGAGGATGAGGGGTGCAGAGAGAGTAAGTGAGCCTTATCCCTGGAGTATTGAGGATGAGGGGTGCAGAGAGAGTAAGTGAGCGTAACCGCTGGAGTATTGAGGATGAGGGGTGCAGAGAGAGTAAGTGAGCCTTACCCCTGGAGTATTGAGGATGAGGGGTGCAGAGAGAGTAAGTGAGCCTTATCCCTGGAGTATTGAGGATGAGGGGTGCAGAGAGAGTAAGTGAGCGTAACCGCTGGAGTATTGAGGATGAGGGGTGCAGAGAGAGTAAGTGAGCCTTACCCCTGGAGTATCGAGGATGTCCTAAGGAGGGAGGGTTGACAGCTATGTTTACCTATTGGCTACTTTTATCAAATTTGCCATCACTAATATTGTATTAGTATTAGTATTGCAAATGTAACCTACGGGAAGTTTATTTCTGCTATTACCAGTATATATTGCCAGAAAAGTTGTCCTCGTTTTAATTCCTTTGAATCTATTGCCCATCAGATGGAGTATGTTAGGACTTTTTTCATTATTGTGTTACATCTAATTTAACTCATGGAACATTGTTCCAGGAACAAAAATGCAAAAGTTTGATACCACAATGTAACAGTATACAGCACAAAGTTCACCTTAATGATTGAAATATTTCAACATTACACAAATCAATGTTTTTAACTGCATGATTTTCTTACTACATATCTAAGAATCCTTGTCCCACTGCCAACATTGTGACAAAATATTGAAAAATGTTTTTTACTGCACGGCTATGGCTTTCATAAATAATTTCTAAAGAGAAAACCATATACCTTGTGGGACTTTTATGAGAAATAATAAAGATGAAATAAACAAATATAATGAACAACAGTGTTCTGAGTGTAAAACAACAGACTTGAAATTGTTATAGTATCACACTAACCATTTGATTCAAACCCCAGACTTGAAATTGTTATACTATCACACTAACCATTTGAGCTACACGGTCAACAGAAGCGTCCTTGCCCAACTGTGCTTCAGTTATATTCAAGCGGAAGTAATAGGGGAGGTTACTGTATATATGAAAAACCACAGTGCAGTGGGAGAGGGATCCAGAAGATAAGGGGAGGATACTGTATATATATGAAAAAACACAGTACAGTGGGAGAGGCATCCACAAGTTAAGGGGAGGTTGCTGTATATATATGAAAAAACACAGTACAGTGGGAGAGGGGTCCAGAAGTTAAGGGGAGGTTCCTCTATATATGAAAAACCAGAGTGCAGTGGGAGAGGGATCCAGAAGCTAAGGGGAGGTGACTGTATGTATGAAAAACCACAGTACAGTGTGAGAGGAGGGATCGCTAAGCTAAGGGGAGGGTTATGTATATATATGAAAAACCAGAGTGCAGTGGGAGAGGGATCCAGAAGTTAGGGGGAGGTTACTGTAAATATGAAAAACCACAGTCCAGTGGGAGAGGGATCCAGAAGATAAGGGGAGGATACTGTATATATATGAAAAAACACAGTACAGTGGGAGAGGAGGGTTCCAGAAGTTAAGGGGGGGTTACTGTATATATGAAAAAACACAGTACAGTGGGAGAGGCATCCACAAGTTAAGGGGAGGTTCCTCTATATATGAAAAACCACAGTGCCGTGGGAGAGGAGGGTTCCAGAAGTTAAGGGGGGGTTACTGTATATATGACAAACCACAGTGCAGTGGGAGAGGGATCCAGAAGCTAAGGGGAGGTTACTTTATATATGAAAAACCACAGTGCCGTGGGAGAGGAGGGTTCCAGAAGTTAAGGGGGGGTTACTGTATATATATAAAAAACCACAGTAAAGTGGTAGAGGAGGGATCCAGGAGTTAAGGGGAGGTTTCTGTATATATATGAAAAACCCCAGTACAGTGGGAGAGTGATCCAGAAGTTAAGCGGAGGTTACTGTATATGTGAAAAACCACAGTGCCGTGGGAGAGGAGGGATCCAGAAGCTAAGGGGAGGTTACTGTATATATGAAAAACCAGAGTGCAGTGGGAGAGGAGGGTTCCAGAAGTTAAGGGGAGGTTACTGTGTGTATGAAAAACCACAGTCCAGTGGGAGAGGGATCCAGAAGCTAAGGGGAGGTGACTGTATGTATGAAAAACCACAGTGCAGTGGGAGAGGGATCCAGAAGCTAAGGGGAGGTGACTGTATGTATGAAAAACCACAGTAAAGTGGTAGAGGAGGGATCCAGAAGCTAAGGGGAGGTGACTGTATGTATGAAAAACCACAGTCCAGTGGGAGAGGGATCCAGAAGATAAGGGGAGGTTACTGTGTGTATGAAAAACCACAGTCCAGTGGGAGAGGGATCCAGAAGTTAGGGGGAGGTTACTGTATATATGAAAAAACACAGTACAGTGGGAGAGAAGGGATCCAGAAGTTAAGGGGAGGTTACTGTATATATGAAAAACCACAATGCAATTGGACAGGTATCCTGAACTGATTCATTATTACAGACAGTGTTACACATAGTGTCCAATTTAGATGCTTTCACAAATATTCATTGCTATTTTATTTGTCTGTATTCATATAACATTGTTTATATATTGTGTGTTGCCTAACTACACAGCTGGAAGATGGTCACTATGCCAGTGCCCTATGTTGCCATGGTACCACACGTGAGGTTACGCTGGATACAGGCACAGGACGGGGCTGCACCAAACTGGGCCATTGACAATGGTGAGATAGGGACAGGATTAAAACACTAATGTAATCAAGGAGAACCATTCAAATCAGACAATGGGTCAGACAACTAGAGAGTAAACTGTTGAAATTTTGGATGTTTACCAGAATTCACTACATCTAAAATGTTCATCCCTTGTTAAAAATACTCGTCCAGATAGATATTTTGAAATTATGGGACACCAGTATTTACATGCTAAAAGACCTAGATAAAAATATTACATATACGGTAAACCTTCCGTCAGTTTGAACAAAATAAAAAAAATATTGATGAACCTGTTCGGATTATACAAAATTATGCTTCAGAAAATAGGCGTGAGTTCGAACTATCGGCAAAACATTCGGCAAAGTGTAAATCAAGTCAGAAACATATACCCGACATGTTTTCTTCACCGAAGTATACCTCTATATATCCAATGTAAGGTTAGCACTGCTCCTCAGGGTGTGATCAATATCAAATTATTATGATATACATTTTGAAAAGGTTTGAAAGTAAGGGCAATAGAAAATAGATAAAGCAGACATGAACAAAACCTAATGTAACACACTTTAAAATACTCATCTTGATTTGTCACTCTGTGTTTCATGTGAGGAAATCAGTTTTGATTTGAAGGTGTTGTTTGTTACAGTGTATATAGGTGATTGTCCAGAGGGATGTCAGGGCCATGGTGTGTGTACAGACGGCACATGTAGGTGAGTTTTATCCCACCACACAGGCTTATTACAAAACAGTGAAATATCATTTGTTGGCATAACTACTGAACTGCAATAGATTGGGGGGGGGGGGGGCTTATTATCAGACAAGGGCTTATTGCATGATAAATATGGTAATTGAAATAGCATAGAACATTTTGTAGTGTGACATGATTGTGATCAAAAATACTAAAAATACTCTATCCTGAATGTATGAGTTTCCAAACTCCACAATTAGGTACCAGTGTGTGGTATTGTAAACAGGAAGACAGCATTAACCTGATGTATTTCAAATTAGTAAATTATTTTCTGAACTTTTCACTAATGGGGCTGTATGGTAATTAGGAATTTGATTGACAGATCAGATCATGTCAGTCAAGGGGTAAAGATTTGAGAATGATCGGGCACTTAAGCAGACATACTATCATTTTAACAAGTTTTAATGGAACCATACTTGTTAACTAAAAGGTATGACTTGGCAGTTACAATGGATCTACCTTTTAATTTGACCAAACTCGTTAACAGGTGTGACTTTGGCTACGATGGCCCTACCTGTGAGGAGACTGTTGTTCCAAACCCTACAGAGCTGATGGAGAACTTTGCTGACCAGTCTGTACTCACTTCCTCCAGTTCTTTAAAAACCAAGGGAGGACAGCTCAGTTATGTGTGTGGAGTGTTGTCATCAGAGAAAGCGTTGGTCTTCAATCAAGCTGGTCCAAGGGAGATAATTACCTCAGAGTTCAACACAACACATAACAGGTGATTTAATCATTTGAATTTCAGCAATTGATCGTAAATTTTTCTAGCTTTAGCTGAATAAGAGTACTTTTAATTTCATCTGAATATGATTGCTTAAAATTGACAATTATATTTTATAAAAGCAATGTTTGGAAATTAAAAGACATAATTCAAAATGTTTTCAAATGTAGGAATTTTAGTATTTTAATTTTGGATTAAGATTTTTTAGACAAACAAGTATCAAGATAGTTCAAATATAATTTTTTACCGAGTTTTAATAATGATAACATGTACAAATGCCCAGTGTGTTCTAGATTAATGTCATTTGCAATTAAGTATATAAAGAAAAGAATACTGCAGTACATATATAGCATGAGGTCTGACCAGTGCATTATTTTGTATCTTACATTAAGCTAATATACCTACTATTTATGTCAGTGTTATAGGTAACTTGTAGGGTACCCTGATATATTGTAGGTACCTGCAGTTCTATATTCGAGTTGGAAGTCAGTCTGTGACATCACTCTGCCCACCACCGGACCGGGAATCTGAGTCTGTCATCCTCGACTACAGCTGTAATGGAGGAATTTCCTGGCATCTCATCAAAATCTTCCGCCCTTCCGAATTCAGCTCTCCGAAGTAAGTTCCCCACTTCCTCAAAGTTTTCTGTCTCAGCTCAACATCAGCTCNAAGTCTTCTGTCCCTCCATCTTCAGCTTATCTTCAGGCTTCAGTTCGCCTATGTATCTTTTCTACTTGCTCAAAATCTTGCATCCTTCCTTATTTAGCTAAGGTAAGGTAAATTCCTAATTTAACCACTTAACGTGGTGCAGGTGATGGAAGGTTCTCCCCAGTATTTTAATCTTAGAATACAAAATAAACAGTCAGGAATATTTAAGTATGATTCTATCAATTGAAAAAGTATTGATTTCATATTTTATATAGTGAAGCAAAAACGTGTTTATGTAGGATTTAGGTAAAAAGGTTCACCCAATAATTTAGGCTATGACCCTGATCTCTATTTTGTCGAATCATTCACTTTCCCTCATTTGTTAGATCAGGAAAATTCATAGCATGATAATGGGATAGTAAAGTTATTCACTTGTGCCTTGTGTTATATTTTCGTCAAAAACATGAGCATATACTAACATTCATCCTCGATACTTCAGGGGTTACGCTCACTTTCTCTCTCTGCACCCCTGGAATATGTCATAGCAAAGTTGACAGCTCAGTGTGCACCACCTAGGAGGCACGGTAGTCTCTTGGTAGGATGCCAGGCTCGTGACCGAAGGGTTGCGAGTTCGAGTCACGTCACGACACAGTGTTGTATCTTTGAGCAAGATACTTTACCCCGCTTGTTCCAGTCTACTCAGCTGTAAATGAGTATGTGGTTGGGCAGTGCTAGAAATGTAGAATGCGAGCTGTGAGCGCTGAAATGGCAGCACCGGCTGTATATGATCCCAAGTGAGATGAGAAAGATATTGGCTGGTTGCAAAGGCCCTATAACCACGGATAATAATTTGTGAACTGCTTTGAGACGACCTACGAACTAGGTTGTGATAAAGCGGTATATAAGAATCTCAAATTATTATTATAGGGATGAAACAAGAAAACTAGTTTGGTCTTTTGATGAACATCAGAAGAATCTGTTGGTTGCGTAACGGTAAAATTAACTGGCTTTGATGTGGGGCGTTGCTCCTATGTAATCTTCAAAGGACAAGTATCAGCCTAGTAATTGGTCAGTTTTTTAGCTCACCTGCCCGAAGGGCAAGTGAGCTTATGCCGTACCGCTGCGTCCGGCGTCAACTTTTCCCTTTAAAAGCCTTTATCTCCTGAACGACTGATTGGATTTTAACTAAATTTGATATGAAGCATCCTTGGGACCAGGGGCTAAATGGATTTATGGAATAAGGGTGTGGCCCCCTAGGGGGTTTAGTTAGGGGCCAAAAAGAGGAAAAATAACTAAGTAAAATTTAGAAAAAAATCAAAAAAATCTTCTTCTCCATTTCCAGAAATGCTAAAACCAAATACTTCTCATAGTTGTAAAGGCCTTTGGGTGGTTTATAAAAATTGTGATTTTCATGTCTTCTAGCACCCCCGTTTGTTCCTGGGGAGGAGGTGAATTTAGTATAGTTTATATAAGAAATAAACATAATAGGCCATGTCTTCCATTGTTTTAAATGGAAGTTGTTCATATTTGACAGAAATACTTGTTAGGGGGACCGGAGGGGGTCTGCAGGTCAAAAATGTATGAGCCTGACCCCCTAGGGGGCTGGGTTTGGGGTGAAAAAGGAGGCGAATTTCAAAAATCTTCTTCTGCAGTCCCAGAAATGCTAGTATCAAATACTAATCATAGTTGTAAAGGCCTTCGAGTGGTTTATATACTTTGTGATTTTCATGTGCCCCAGGTCCCTCGTTTGCCTTTGGGGAGGGGGTAAAGTTTGGTATTGTTTATATGGACAATTCGACAAATGAACAGCCATCACATACTTTTTATCTCCAACCCATCTAATGTGCTAGTAATAGTTACAACCTTAATTTTTTATGAATTATAAAGTCTCCATTGTAACGCTTCCAAGTTCTTACCCTACATGTCTGAATTGGTTACAAATTGGCATTACAGAGCAAATGTAAATATTGTGCCAAGATTACTTAAATAACCAGGTGAGCGATACAGGCCCCCTGGGCCTCTTGTTTTTACCTGAGACCAATCAAATACCTCACTGCGTGCCTTCAATTTTGGGTGCAGAGAGTGTGAGTGAGCGTAACCCCTGGAGTGTCGAGGATGACTTACATTAAATGGTCTAAACTAAGTTGATAATCCACAAGGAAATTACTGTGTATCAGAAATTTTTAGCAATTTTATCATTAGAGGGAAAATTAGTAAACATCATGATAAACATGATGTGAAGGGAGAGATTATATAACTGGGTGGAAATAGATTTTACCAGAGAAGGGCAGTTAAAAGTCCTCCAATTGTAAACGAATGAAAATTTCACTAGCTCGAGCAGAAATTTCCTCACAATTTTTTTATTTTTTTTTATCAAATAAAACATGAAAAAACATCTGAACCAATGAAACTGACAGCAGGTACAGAGGAAGACGAACAGTCACTGATTCCTATAGCTCAACCATGTATAAGGAGGAGATAAAAACAACATAAATCACACTATGTAAAATTTGTATGTATGACTGACCTTAGCTCACAGACATACTGTTTTTTTGGTTTTTTTTCATATTCTCTCTAAAATTAGGTATGGTTAAAAAAAGGTTAGAAAAATTTTGCCTGTTCACTGCTAATAATATAATTATATTGCAAAAATTTGTGAGAAAGGGATATTTTAAATACCATATTCTTAAAATTAACATGCTTTTTGCGAGTAAATATAGGTAAGTTTGAACCCTGACATAAACATGAATCATTCATTTGAATTCTATGTTAGATCAGACATGGTCATGTTACCAGAGGGAGCCAGGGGAACGGGCTGTCAGTTCCGCTGGTGGCAGCCTGAACATTCTGGACGGGGACGGGACGTGTGGGCCATTGACAGCCTCAGTCTCAACAGCCATCTGTTCAACACCCTCACCATGGAGATGAGGGACTCAGCCAATGATACAACACCTCTTATAGCCAACTTCGGCAAAATCTCCGACGGTTACTGTGATAAACGAAGGTCTATCAGGTAGGGTTGTTCTATTACAGAATGTAGTTGAATCTAGTTGTACATACAAGGGTAACCAGTAGAATTAATAACATTTGTCAATATTTTTGATATGTAAATTTAAAGCTGACCAGGAATGATATTTAGCTATTTGATATTTGTAATCTGGGACCTGCTGTTCAAAGCATTGTTAGTTCACCAGGTCTTTAACGAAAACTTATTTTATCTGATCATATATCATAGCTTTAAACGGACATGTCCTCTTACAAAAACAAAAAAACAAAAAATGTATTTATCTTTTTTAAAGTTTTTATGACGCACGTGAGGACGGAGACCAGCGGTTTCTGATGACCAGAGCTATGCATGTGGGGCCTTCCTACATCCTCCAGTTTGACCTTGTCATGGGTTGTCACATCATGTACAGTGATGGCCTTGACAATGACCTCTACCTGGAGTTTTCCGCGGACCATGGCCTCAGTTGGGGGCTAGTTACTGAACCATGCCTGCCCCCAAAATCTTGTGTTATCTTTACAGAGGGGACAATTTACAAGCCTTCCAAGTACACAGCTTGGACACAAGTAACTGTGCCCCTCCCTCCTGCCACATGGTAAGTATTCTCGTGTATGTATTCTCGTGTAGGTATTCTCGTGTAGGTATTCTCGTGTAAGTATTCTCGTGTATGTATTATCGTGTATGTATTTTTTCGTGTAGGTAAATACCGGTCCAGGTTATGTGGAACAGCCTCGAGGTAGTCACCATGTAAGTATTCTCGTGTAGGAAAATACCTGGTCCGGGTTACGTGGAACAGCCTCGAGGCAGTCACCATGTAAGTATTCTCGTGTAGGTAAATCCCTGGTCCGGGTTACGTTAAACAGCCTCGAGGTAGTCACCATGTAAGTATTCCCGTGTAGGTAAATACCTGGTCCTGGACAGACTCGAGGTAGGCACCATGTAAGAATTCTCGTGTAGGTAAATACCTGGTCCAGGTTACGTGGAACAGCCTCGAGGGAGTCACCATGTAAGTATTCTCGTGTAGGTAAATGCCTGGTCCTGGACAGACTCGAGGTAGTCACCATGTAAGCATTCTCGTGTAGGTAAATACCTGGTCCGGGTTACGTGGAACAGCTTTGAGGTAGTCACCATGTAAGTATTCTCGTGTAGGGAAATACCTGGTCCTGGACAGACTCGAGGTAGTCACCATGTAAGTATTCTCGGGTAGGTAAATACCTGGTCCGGGTTACGTTAAACAGCCTCGAGGTAGTCACCATGTAAGTATTCTCGTGTAGGTAAATACCTGGTCCTGGACAGACTCGAGGTAGTCACCATGTAAGTATTCTCGTGTAGGTAAATACCTGGTCCGGGTTACGTTAAACAGACTCGAGGTAGTCACCATGTAAGTATTCTCGTGTAGGTAAATTCCTGGTCAAGGTTATGTGGAACAGCCTCGAGGTAGTCCCCATGTAAGTATTCTCGTGTAGGTAAATACCTGGTCAAGGTTATGTGGAACAGCCTCGAGGTAGTCCCCATGTAAGTATTCTCGTGTAGGTAAATACCTGGTCCGGGTTACGTTAAACAGCCTCGAGGTAGTCACCATGTAAGTATTCTCGTGTAGGTAAACACCTGGTCAAGGTTATGTGGAACAGCCTCGAGGTAGTCACCATGTAAGTATTCTCGTGTAGGTAAATACCTGGTCCGGGTTACGTGGAACAGCCTCGAGGTAGTCACCATGTAAGTATTCTCGTGTAGGTAAATACCTGGTCC